GAGCACTCATTTTTCTGACGTATCCAAGTCAAACTAAGCACTGAAAATCTCGAATTCAGCCGGATTCCACTCGAAAATTCATGCGTGATTGGTATGGTGTGTTCAGCACCGTTTTCTCCTATATTTCCCCGTATATGATCATTTTGTCGAATTCGGTGATACGAAAGAAATTCCTTTGTCAAGATCGACTTCCATTAGGAACGACAATGGTTGTTACGATGTCTGAATAATAAAGCTTGACAATATGAATAATAAAGCTTGACGATCTGAATAATAAAGCTTGAAAATAATAAAGCTTGGAAATCGAGTTAACACTTTGATGTTTTGCACGGTTTAAAACGAAAAATTTCATGCATAAACTAAAAATGATACAAAGTAAAAAGAGAACTCAGTTTTCCAAAATGATTTGATCATTTATTCAAGCAAGAGCCTTTGGTGTGGTTAATTTTAAACAATTTCAAGCTGATTTCAAGCTGATTTCCTTGACTCTTTTCTCAGTTTAAACAATGATTTAAGGTTTTTGTTAGTGTTAAAGCTTTATGGACAATGAACGAAAAAAAAAAACTGTAAATGAAATGCGTAGAAAAGAGATCACCAAACAACTAAACTCAACTTTTTTGTGCATGCTAAGACCTGGCAATGAAGTATTTGAAAGTGAAAAATGTCTAAAATGAATGAGATTATGGCATTTGGGTGATTCGGGTTGTGATGACCGTTCTGGTTGTTCCGTTGGGACGAGGAGAGGATGATTTCCGAGCCTCCAACACGAGGATTACCGCTCTGCAAAATTGGATGATTGGATGATTGGATGATGAATTTGGTTTTGTTAAAAGTTCATTCTCAAATAAACTTCAAAAATGCAACCACTACGGTTTAAAACCTTTCAAAAAGCCCTTACCAATCCCATTTGCTTATCAAACATTTGATATTTGCTTTATTTATTACTATTACAGTATTTATGGTAGGTATAAGTGCAATATATTCAGAAAAAAATACTCTTAATCTACTTTCTACCACCTAGAACTTAGATAATTAGAAGTTTCAGTTAGTCATTCAAGTTATAGTAAAGAAAAAGGCAGTGAAAATAAAGGTATTCCCGTATTTTCCTGCAAATTATTCCTACTGGGTCCGAATGGAAGAATGCTTTTGATCAATTTAGATTTTAAATGCAGAAAGATACGGAATAATCGAAATGGTTAAGGATTAGATTGATTAGATTGACTTGATTGATTGATTGATTGACTTGATTGATTGATTGATTGACTTGATTGATTGATTGACTTGATTGATTGACTTGATTTGATTAGATTGACTTGATTGATTGATTTGATTTGATTTGATTTGATTTGATTTGATTTGATTGATTGATTTGATTAGATTGATTTGATTAGATAATCACTTGCAACAAACATTTCTAGGCGAGCAACGGCTGGCTGATGAACTTCAAGTCACGACACAGTTTGGCTTTCGTCGGTGATGAGAAAAAGAGTGGTGATTCCGCAAATGAATATCTCGATCATCGATTACCGACAATGATCACAAAACCTTCGATTTCCCGCCAAGAAGCCTATGAATCTTTCACGAAATTCCGCGAGTACATTCAAGAGAATTCAGCTGATCCAAAGATATTCCAAGCTTGCTTCGATATCGAGGATTTTTTTATCAACGAGCTAGTGAAAGAAATTCCTTTAAAAAGTGTATCCGATAGTGTTTAGTTAAACTTTTTGTACTTTTGTACTTACTGCCCTATTGCCTTGTGATTTCTTGAGAACAAAACGGGTTTCTACTGTATCCTTTCTCTTCTTTGTGGTGATCTTCAGCATTCTTTCATTTTTTTAGAAGTTTACTTGCTTTAAATAAACATGTCAACTAATTGGAAATAAGTTTTAGAATATTACAATGGAATTCATGCATTTATTCTTTACCTACATATTGTTTAAAGCTGAAATCTGAGTTCATTAAGGGGAAAAAAATCTGAATTTTCAGAATCCGACGTTAGTTTTCCAAAATGCGCGCATTTTCCGAGTCAAAAATGACAGTTTACAAAAAGTGTCAGAACTTTTGCGACATCCTGTCGTTACAACAAAGTCTATTGATCTATTTGAATTAAAATAGCGCTATGAAGCTTTCTGAATACATCGATTCTCGATACAATGAAATCACTAGACCAGCCAGCACAATAGCACATCGATATTTGATATAATGAATTTGATCAAATCACAAATTTTAACAGTTTCTTTGTTATATCGAGAGCTCTTTTCAATTTCTCACCTCCTTAACTACTATATACAAAAGAGCAATGTCTATCTGTCTTTTTGTCTTTTCTTTCTCGACCGTGTACCAATAAAGCTAAAGCTTTTTTAGAAAACCTATATCGTAGTTGTGTCAAAAGCATTTTGAAAAAAATCACAGGTTGGTGAAACACCAGGAGTCGAACCCGGGCCGTGTGGGCTGTAGACAAGCACGCTCTCGACTGGGCCACGTCGTCGTCATAATCAGTGGCGGACCCAGGATTTCGCGACTTTCAATCTAACGACTCGAGCTCCTCGAGGCTACCCGCAATCAATTTTCGTCCATGAAATTATATTTTATAAAAAGTTCAGGCTACAAAACTGACTAAACAGTTTTTTGAAAAATTTCAAAGGGCTCGAGATTTTTGCATTTTAGTGCAGAAATTTCGATAAAACGAGTTTTTTAGGAATGAATAATTGATTTTACAAAACTAACGTTACGATTTTCGGAAAGTAAAGGAAATTTGACTAGGCGGGCTGAGCAACATGCAACAGCAACATTCATTTTACTTTCCGATTCATTTTACTTTCGAAACTTTATGTTGAGAGCAGCAGCTTGTCAACTATAGCAGATTTTAAGGAGGTGAGTAGTTGAAAAGAGCCATATAGTACCACTTACCAGTACAATTTGTGCCAATCGATCCAGCTGCCGAACAGTTCACAGTCACCTCTTCGTGCACGATTTGTGAGGCGGCTTTTTGGCTGTAAAAGTTTCAAATACCGTATTTTCTCTAATAGTAGTGCACCCAGAGCGTCGCCTAAATTGCTCAAAATCTCGAGAGCCGCTTATCAGAACTTATTGATGTGTGGCCGGAAAATGTAGCTGACGATGAGATCTAGTGGGGGATTTGAGTGTTGAGCTTCTGTGAAAACTTTGAAAGCCGTAAAATAGTCACCAACTCGGCACCCCAGTGCACTACTATTGGGTTGGTGAATTGAAAACTGCGGGACTTTGAACTAAAATTTATTCAACATAAAACCATAAATTCATTCCAAATAATTTCCATTATTATTGACGACTTCTGCCCATTTTACAGGCAATTTGCGGATTCCTCTTTCGTAGTAGGATTTTGGTTTGTGTGTGAGACTCAAAAATGGAGAACTGGAGATGTCCCAGTTTGAGCCCTTTCTTCAAAAGAAACCCATTTTGGTGTCAATAGAAAAGTTGTAGAGAATCAAAAATTAGGCTTATAGCCAAATTTCCAAAAAGATACACTCAGTAGTTTCGCTTAAAATGCAAGTTTTGTGAAAATTCGTAAATTTGGCATTTCTTGAAAACCAGTTTTTGAATCGTTCTGAAAATTTGGATATAAGCTTGATTTTTGATTCTCTACAACTTTTCCATTGACACCAAAATGGGTTTCTTTTGAAGAAAGTGCTCCAACTGTCACATATGACAATAGCCCGCAGTTTTCAATTCACCAACCCAATATTAGAGAAAATACGGTATATATATAAAAGCTTGAAACTCATACTGGCAGAAAGATAAACAGTTTGTCTGTTTGTTTAATAGTTATTTGTTACTTGTAGTTAAACTTTTCATTTAAAAATGCTTTGACAAAAGTAGACTTTTTGTTGTTTACCGGTTTTTCTTCGTTTCTCCCCGTTCAACTTTCATTTCAAGTACATCTTTTGCATTTTAATGTAATAATTCACACTATTGAATGGCTAAATAAAAGGCTAAATAAAAGGCTAAATAAAAGAAAATTTGATTGATTGACAAATTAAATTGAAAATTTGTTTAGCAAATAATTGGCTATGTCTTGAAATGTCTCGAATTGACAAACCATCGAATCCAAATTGACAAATAAAGAAAATAACAATGAAAAGAATGAATAGAAGTCTCATTTTATCAGAAAAAAATCACTAATATTAATGAAAATTTTTCCCTAAACAAGTGAGAATTCTCAATTTTTTTTGAAGGTCAAATCGCTTTAAATGAGAAAAAAATCTCTGGAAAATGTCTATCTTTTTTGGAAAAACCGAATGATTTTTGGTGAATGGATATCGCTTTTTTTAGGGATATGGATTTTGTTTTTGTATTTTTGAACGTTAAAATTACTTTTATTGTACTCTATAGAACTCAAAGAGAGATCTTTTCTGAATGTACTTTGTGCAACGGAAACACACCCTTTCTGCTACACTAATTCGATCACCTTTCAGCTGTCACCGCTTTGAGTCGATCAGAAATGATGCGTTTTCAATTTCTAAGCACAAAGTACACTTCAGAGCATGATTTTTGTGCCTACTTTGAGCTCAACTCATAGAAATTGAACTCGACTCTTTTCCTCGATTCTCTAACTTTTTTTACACCAGAAACGGTGTGTTTAAGGCTAAAAGCCCACTTCAAAGAACACATAGATTTGTTTTTGTTGCGTACTTTGTGCTCAAGATAATGAAAACGCACAGTTTCGAGTTTACGACTTCTGATTCAATTTAGAATTAGCACTTGGTTGAAAAGGAGAAAATGAGAAAACGAGAAAATGAGAAAATGAGAAAACGAGAAAATGAGAAAACGAGGAAATGAGGAAACGAGGAAAACGAAAGCTTTCAGAGAGCACAGTAAAAGCAAGAGAGCCAAAGCCAGCAAGCCAATGCAATATTAAATCAAATGAAATAAAAATGGGAACACTTAGGCAATAGATGATAGATAGATAAACCCTTAACATTTACAGATCAGAGATCAGAGATTAGATCAGAGAGATGTCATCGAATTCTTCCTAAAAAAAGGCAATAAATTAAAAGTTGAAAGATATTCAATCATCGCATATTTATAGTCATTCTTCTACTCGAAATACCTGTCGTCGTTGTGATCAAAATCGATTTCCCCGCCTCGCCTATTGTCGTCTTTCGGCCTCTCGTCGATTTACTTGTGCTGTCGAGGGTGATAATTGTAATACTAAAAACGTTTAGATATCATATTTCAAAGACTTTTTTGTTTCTTTTCGTTTAGAATTTTGCAAAGTTTCAGTTTCATTTCTTACAGCATTTCGGATGCGACAGTATCATCGATTAAAAGATTTAAATAAGAGAAATGGTAGGTAACAATGGACACGATATAGGAAATGGATAAAGAATGGGTACTGTACTATACTCCCGCCATTTTTTGTATCTGTTTATTCTTAATTATCGAGGTAGGCTAATTTCCCTAATTTTTTGGCGCAACAGGGTCGTTTGCGCAATTTGCCATAACTTTCTTCTAAGTCGGCCAATCTTTATGATATTGGGTTTCATTTTGTTGCACTTATTCAGATCTACAAAATGAAACCAATATCATAAAGATTGGCCCACTTAGAAGAAAGTTATGGTGAGTTGCGCAAATTAGCCTATCCCAAACGGCCTATTTGATTCCTATTCTAACAAGGCAAAGAAAAATGTCTAAAACAAACTTAACTTTGGTTCCAGATGTTGAGTTGATGAAAAAATATAAAAATAATGGTGAAAAAAAAGAAAGAAAATAGGCCGGGTAGGCTAATTTTGGCAATTTTTTTTTTGCGCAACAAGGTCGCTTCCAAAACTCACCATAACTTCCTTTAAAGTGGGCCAATCTTTATGATATTGATTTCATTTGGTAGATCTGAATAAGTGCAACAAAATGAAACCAATATCATAAAGATTGGCCGACTTAGAAGAAAGTTATGATTGCACAAAAGGACCCAGTTGCGGAAATTACCCTCGTCTAATTATCTGATCATTTTTTTTTATCTTAAAAATGACGGGGATATAATTTTATTCTAGTTTTTGACAAATAAAATGTAAATTTAAAAACATTTATACTAAAACTGATCATTTTTTATCAATAAAATGGTGGCGGTATAATGGAAAAGTATCAAAGAATGTTTACCCAATTGAAAGCACAGAATCGTTGGTCTTATACAGGGTTCGCCAAAAGTTCCCGTACTTGTATTTTCTGCATTTTTGGTAATTTTAGATAAAAGATACGATTTTAAAAGTAAGAAATTCGAATTCCTCGCGAAAAACTCATTTAGAAAACGTTTCTGGTTAATTTATAAGTGCAACGCTATTACCTCAGAGGCTGGATTTACCTCAGAGGCCAGTTCTGCTGACTTCTATCCGGGTTTTGGCCTGGCTTGGCTTGGATACCCAAGAGCTTACTTGGAACTGCATTCATCTATAGATGCCGAAAGGTACCTCGAATTATAATATTATTGGTTTCTAGAATAAAACGTTGAGGGATTCTTAAAGCCAAATAAATGTTGAGCCAACTAGCAATGGAATCACATAAATTTGTTCTTTTATTCGATTTAGACCAGACACCAGTCGATCTGACTGACCAGCTTCTACCTACAGCTTTTCGTCACTCGCAACACTATTTAAGACAAGTGATTGAGAAGAGGGTCCGCTCAGGGATGCTTTGGTCGCACATTTTTTTGGGGCGTCAGGCCTGTAACTTTTATGGATCAAAAGATTTTCAAGAGTCAAGATGTTTTTCGAAAACTAGACATAAAATGTGGCATTTTTTATATTGGGTGTATAAAGTTTTGGTCAACGACCGAGTCGGAAGTCAGCTTAGACTGTGCTGTGCCCTGTAGCTGTGCCCTGTAGCTGTGCCCTGTAGCTGTGCCCTGTAACTGTGCCTTGTAACTGTGCCTTGTAACTGTGCCTTGTAACTGTGCCTTGTAACTGTGCCCTGTAACTGCCCTGTAAGACTGTGCTGTGCCTTGTAACTGTGCCCTGTAACTGTGCCCTGTAGTTGTGCCCTGTAACTGTGCCCTGTAGCTGTGCCCTGTAACCGTGCGACCAAAGCACCCCTGAGGGACCCTCTTCTCAATCACTTGTCTTAAATAGCGTTGCACTGATAAATTAACCAGAAACGTTTTCTAAATGAGTTTTTCGCGAGGAATTCGAATTTCTTACTTTTAAAATCGTATCTTTTATCTAAAATTACCAAAAATGCAGAAAATACAAGTACGGGAACTTTTGGCGAACCCTGTAATAATTACTACAGTAAACAGCAAGATACCTCAAGAAGAATTTGCATTTGCAATCTTTTAAATCATAGATTGACTAAATATCTCAATTTTACTTGAATAGGAATCCAGACTTTTGAATCTATGAATTACTGGGTAGATTATCGAGCTAAACTGTTTAAAGACTTCAAAAAAACCCATCTCTAAACACAATGTGACTAACTTGTAGCTTTTTAAAGGTGATAATTGTTATAATAAACTACTGTAAGTACTTAATTTGAGTTCTACAATCTTTTCATTAAACGAAAGTAAATCGGAAATCTTTCAAGAAAGATTACGATAGTTTGCTAAGTGATCTTTTAGAAAACGCTTTACTTGCTATCATATGCCGCTACGGTATTCCTGTTTTCAAAAACTCACCCTTGAACACAATGTGACACCTCCCAAGCTAATGTGGTGTGCACGAATTTCCAAAATCTTGAATCAGTCATCCCGGTGAAGAATTGAAATGAAACAAGCATGTAGACAAAGCCGAGAGAAGCCAGTGATGACTGAAAAGGAATGATTTAGAAATTCGACTTTCGTTTATTTTTAAACTCTTACTTTGTTTAGAAATTCGACTTTCATTTGTTTTTAAACTCTCACTTTTTTTAGAAAGTCAAAAGCTAACCGAATTTGAGTCAAAAGCAGTGGCGTTGCTAATGACGATCATTTTTGGTATCAACTCGTTAGGACTTTGTTATTCATCTCACAGAAAGTTCTCAATACTTTGTTCTAGTTTCAAGAGGAGATTTTAAAGCTGGAATTGGATAACTGATAACTGGAAGGTATAAAGTGGAAGTTCACACTTCATGGATTTCTCTATAGAAAAAGGCAAAAGTGTGAACTTACACTTTATACCTACTGTAAATACTGTAATAGTACCCCACCGCCCTCGTACAGTCGCGTAGTCGCAAAAGTTTTTAAGTATTTCATTTTTTTAAAGCGCCCGTACTTCCAAAAAATGCGTCTTTTGTATCAAAAAATAGCTGAAATTCAGGGCTATTTTTTGATATCTAAGCGCGCATTGTAGCATAAACCAGTGTCGAGAAAAGCCCCGTTCAAAGCTAGACTACGCAACACTCCGCACTGTCATTATGGGGGTGGGGTAATATGATAGTATTTACGGTAATTTCATTTTCATCATAAATCAAAAATACAGGAATGCCACTCGTGCGCGGTTTGCGGTGACTCAGCCGCCTATGCACACTACGGAGTTCTCTCGTGTGAGGGGCGCAACGAATTTTCAAAGCGCTTTTCTCGACACTGGTTTGTGCTACAATGCGCGCTTTGGTATCAAAAAATAGCCCTGAATTTCAGCTATTTTTTGATACCTAAGCGCGCATTGTAGCATAAACCAGTGTCGAGAAAAACTCGTTCAATGCTAGACTACGCAACACTCCGCACTGTCATTATGGGGGTGGGGTAATATGATAGTATTTACGGTAGTTGTCCAATAGCTCTAAAACTTTGCAAAATATGTTTTTATAACTTTTTATAACGATATTAGACCTAAATAGTTTAGTTTATCTTTGAATATCGATAAATTTATCAATAAAATAGTAATGATTGTGTCAAAAACTGACTTGTGCAAACATCCGCAACTCTCTAACCGTATTATTCCCAGCGATCGCGCCTTGTTTCGTCCATTTCTGAATTATGATTATAAATCTCAAAAATAAGTCCATTCAAAGTTAAACTATTAAATGAAATTCAGCAAATCGGAGAGAATTTTATTCAAATATTTGAAAGATTTTCCTTTAGCATTTTCTAAAAAATGAAAACTTTTGAAAACTATCGTAAAATTACAAAGGATACGATAGTTTTTAAAAGCTGATACGTTCAAAACTGTCGTAATCTTACAAAGGATATCTAAAGTAGTGATTTGATAGAACTAGAGCTAAGCTTAAGGTAGTTTTTTTTTTGAAAGCTTCATTTTAGAAAACGAATACCGTATTTTCTCTAATAGTAGTGCACCAAAGCGAGCCGAGTTGGTGATTTTAGACTATTTTACGGTTTCCAAGTTTTCGGAGAGATTCGACACTCTAATCCCCCAAAAGATCTCATCGTCAGCTACATTTTCCAACCCCACATCGATAGGTTCTGATAAGCGGTTCTCGAGATTTTGAGCAATTTAGGCGACGCTCACGGTGCACTACTATTAGAGAATAGAGAATAGATTAGAGATTAGAGATAAATTAGAGAATACGGTATTTAGAGCAAATCATAGGTTAATTGATGGATTTGTGATTTCTCAACGGATGTAGGAAAAGGTCTTCTGGATATTACGGAATAGTATTCCATACTATTCAATACTATATTGAAGTGTGGTTCTGTTTGAACGGCAGGGCATTGTCAAATCAGAGCCAGGCTCAGTCCTGCTTCTGAGCGGGACCAGGTATTTTATGGACCAGACTTACAGTGAAGCCAGGACTGAATTCTCGATTACCGTAGTCCGTAATATAATAAATAAACCATAATAAATGTTACCATAATCGAGACTACTTTAACATTTAGTAAAATAGATGCTGTATTCTCTCTAATAGTAGTGCACAGAGTCGAGCCGAGTTGGTGACTATTTTACGGCTTTCAAAGTTTTCAAAGAAGCTCAACACTCAAATCCCCCACAAGATCTCATCGTCAGCGACATTTTCCGCCCTCACATCAATAGGTTCTGCTAACCGGTTCTCGAGATTTCGAGCAATTTAGGCAAAACTTAGGTATTTTGTAGAAAGTTCTCAGTAATTTTGTACTCGTTTTCAGGAGGAGATTCAGGGCTATTAAATGACTATAATAATTTAGTTTTTCTTTTAACTTACACTAAATTATCAGTAAAACAGTTAACGGCTATATGACAGCGTTCAAAATAAAGTTGATTTAACAGGGAGCAATCGGTAAATGCTAAACGCTTTCCAACTTTGTTCAAAGTTTTCACAAAGGCTCAACACTCAAATCCCCCACAAGATCTCATTGTCAGCTACATTTTCTGACCCCACATCGATAGGTTCTGATAAGCGGTTCTCGAGATTACGAGGAATTTAGGCGACGCTCTGGGTGCACTACGATTAGAGAAAATACAGTAGTTTAACTGGACACACTGAGGCTGACAAATCCTATCCGACAAATGAAATATTCAACTGATAAACTAAATAGCTTTTAAGTTTGAATAAAAAGTTAGTAATGTCAGCTGAATATCATTACGATAATAGACAGGAAGCTGAGCTCTTCAATAAAAAAAGCATGCAAAAATAGAACTCAATCACTCACTTTACTCCGATCTCCGACCATTTGCCAACTCTCAAAAGAAATTTTAGTTTAAAGAATTGAAGGGAGATTGAAGATTGATTTTATCAAATTAAATCCAACACTCACTCTGGTTCGAATGCTGAATACGATCAACACACAGAAATCGATGAGCACCTCGACGGTGAAGAAAGAGCAAATAAACATGAAATCGATGTAGAATGAGATGAAATTGCCGCATGGGGTTTTCGAGAAATACCATTGCATCTCGACGCGATCGAAAGTGAAATTGCAACCGGCTAAAAAAGAGTTTATGAGTAAATGCATATGAAGATATTGGGTTGGTGAAATGAAAACTGCGGGCTATTGTCATATGTGACAGTTTGAGCACTTTCTTCAAAAGAAACCCATTTTGGTGTCAATGGAGAAGTTGTAGAGCATCAAAAATCAAGCTTATATCTAAATTTTCAAAAAGATACACTTAGTAGTTTCGCTTAAAATTTGTGTGTTCTTTGTGCGGCCGCGCAATCGCTCGTCGTCTGGCGCAGGGCTTTTACATAACCCTCTTTGTCTCTTAATTTTTCATCGTCAACTACCATACTCCGACTAGCTTACTCAGAATTACCGTACCCCAACTAACAAACTTCGACTATCATACTCCAATTACCGCACAAAACTACCGTTAGAATGTTCGGATTGTTTCTACTTATTGTTAGCTTTGTAAATCCGAGAGCAAACAAACATAGAAAACATTTCACTGCTTTAATTTCCACAATTAAGTGTTCAATTGGTGCTTCAAGAGATCTTTTTTTATTGAGAAATTTATTAAATTCGGTTTATATCATTTAAAACTGTTCTTGAAGCTATCTAAAATGAAATCACCCTTTTCTCTAATATCCATTCTAATCAAGCTCCCCGTTTTCTTTTATCCAATTCATTTTCAATTCCCTAGAGTCTAGCCAAACATGTTTCAAAAATTTTAGAAGCATTTTCTTTCCTAAAATATTATGTGTAATTTAATTTTGAAGATTGTTGGGATTACGGTAAAAATTTGAAGCTTCAAAGAACTTTTCAAAAAAAAAGAGAAAGAACGTTTACCAATTTGGGTTTGAAAATTGATCTGGGAGAATTGATGTGATTTTTAGAATTAGAATTGAAGAATTGATGTAATTTTTAGCCATTACTTTGAGAAATTGGGTACACAATTGGAAAATAACATGATGTTTGCAAATCAAAACCAAAATAGATTCAAATCAAAATAGATTTTGAATTCTTTTTTCTATTAAAGTTGGCTTGATTAACTCACGAAACAGAAAAGCGATGCTGACGAGGTAGAGGAAAACGAATGAGGGAACGATGATCCATAGAGGGGAAAAGGAAACCTGAAATTGACTGGAATTGACGGGAATTGGCTGCCCTTTTAGTTGAATTGGGTTAGCATAAACGTTTAAAGGATCTCCAATCCTTTATAGATTTATGGATAAGATTTTTGATTAGCTAGTGAAAGTGAAAGCTACTTAAGTGAAACCGCTAGACAAATTTCAAAAGCATTTCACTTTATTGACTCGATTCGGATTCACTCTGACCTAACTTTTACAGAATGTTCAAAATTTAGTACTATTGGGTTGGTGAATTGAAAACTGCGGGACTTTGAACTAAAATTTATTCAACATAAAACCATGAATTCATTCCAAATAATTTCCATTATTATTGACGACTTCTGCCCATTTTACAGGCAATTTGCGGATTCTTCTTTCTTAGTAGGATTTTGGTTTGTGTGTGAGACAAGTGTGAGACTCAAAAATAGAGGACTGGAGATGTCCCAGTTTGAGGTTCGAGCACTTTCTTCAAAAGAAACCCATTTTGGTGTCAATAGGAAAGTTGTAGAGAATCAAAAATTAGGCTTATAGCCAAATTTCCAAAAAGATACACTTAGTAGTTTCGCTTAAAATGCAAGTTTTGTGAAAATTCGTAAATTTGGCGTTTCTTGAAAACCAGTTTTTGAATCGTTCTGAAAATTTGGATATAAGCTTGATTTTTGATTCTCTACAACTTTTCCATTGACACCAAAATGGGTTTCTTTTGAAGAAAGTGCTCAAACTGTCACATATGCCAATAGCCGGCAGTTTTCAATTCACCAACCCAATAGATTACTAGATTTAGAGCTCATTTTGTAGAAGTTTAAGGCTAAAAAGGAAACCCACTGATCAATACGCTCAATGTTAGCAACTTTAAGGACTCTCGCTTTCTACCACCAACTTTCACATCGTCACTCTGATGACTTTACTCACTTTACTCCCTTTATTGATTGCAAGAAGTGAAGCAGCTCGATTGATCGTGAGAAACATTGACGAGAGAAAAGCACAGAATTCGGTGGCAAGAGCAAAATAACCGAAAGGGATATTCGTAGCGTTGTCGACAAGAGCCCTGGAAATCTGGCAGTAAGGTATTTCGAGAGGACAAAAGTCATTTTGAGCTGCATTTTCAGAGGATAAAGCTAACTCAAACACGGATTAATAGTATCTAATTTAATAAAGTACAGTAAACAAATATGCAAACCAGTTTTTCAAGTCAATCAACTCCCAACTCACCAATATTCCGGAAACAAGAGACTCCAAGGCATGTGCAAAAGAAAACTCACCAAGTTGAACGTGTCAAAGAGGACATGAGCTCTAAAATTATAATAATAATGATAATAATAATGATAGTAATAATATCAAATAAAGAAACCAATTCTCCTATTTACCTAGCATATCCAGCGAAATGGGGAGCATTGATTTGTTGAGTTTTCAATCGAAGAAACGCTTTCATGTTAAAGATTGAACCCGTAATGCAAACCTAGAAAGTTCATTGATAAATAGAAACTAAAGAAGCTCCTATTTTGAAGAGCAATGGCTACTGTTTGTAGATCAATGGCTACTGCTTGTAGATCAATGGCTACTGATAAATGGCTTTAAGCTACGGTAACTACCAAGAGTTCTCGCAATAACAATGAGATTTTTAAGATCTGTATTTACAAAAGATCTTAGTCCTCTTACCCAAATAGTTTCTGTAATTTTACAGCTACTGTAAAACTACAGTGGCTGTAAAACTACAGAGACAGCCACTGTAAAACTTTCCAGATTCACTATAACATCGAACTGTTTCATTTCCGAATACTAAAGAAACAACAATCGTTTTTTATTGCTCAAATTTTTAAGATTTTCTGCTCTGTTTCATTTTGAAAATAGACTTTTTGCTTGTTTCTTTTTTTGAGATCGCTTACCAATAACACCAAAAGTGCGCCCAACATTTGATCACTTGCAACAATCATACTCAAATCGACTAAACTCGTCCCATTTAAATCACCCATTTCCGCAAGCTAGAATTTGCAAAATGGTAAACAAATTTCAAAATGAAAAGACAGACAAAAATGCAGACCCAACTATGTAAAGTTTATTCAAAAGTTTATCCAAAAGTTTATCCAAAAGTTTATGCAAAAGTATATCCAAAAGTATATCCAAAAGTATATCCAAAAGTATATCCAAAAGTATATCCAAAAGTATATCCAAAAGTATATCCAAAAGTATATCCAAAAGTATATCCAAAAGTTTATCCAAAAGTTTATCCAAAAGTATATCCAAAAGTATATCCAAAAGTTTATCCAAAAGTTTGTCCAAAAGTTTATCCAAAAGTTTGTCCAAAAGTTGATCCAAAAAAACTATTCTTCAAAAATTACGAGCTTCTCAGGGTGATTAGGGTGCCTGGCTCCAAATTTTACGTGGGTGTTTGGGCATTTTCATTAATTTTCATTAATTTTCATTCATTTTTAAAATTCTATATGTATCCTCGTGCTTTAAAGCTCAAGTATCAGCCAGCAAATTTTCTATTTTAGCCAAAAAATCAAGTATCACCTAGCAAAGCTTCTTTTTATCTTTTTTAAAGTAAAGAACTGGTAGGCTGTATTAATTACGAAGATTTTCGATGCAAACTGAAGTTTTTTGAAGGATTTTGTTATTGATTTTGGAGAAATTTCTCGATAACTTTATACTAAAGCCAAATCCAATGCTAAACCTAATGTTCTTTGAAGTAAAAAGAAGCCAAAGCATTAAAAGCATTAAAAGAAAGTGCCTAGAGGCTATTGAGGTCTTAAAAACTTCAAAATTAAAGAAAGCTCTTAAAAATTAGAAACCGTCGTACAATAAGTCGTACAAAAAGAACAAAATGAGAAAGATGCTTTCGGTTACAAAACGAAATTCCCAATGGAGACGGTTTTCTTGAAAGATTTGACTTTTGACTTAAAGAAAACTTGGAGATAACATTTTTGGAAACGAAACACATCCGATATTAGTCTTGTTTTGAAAAACAATTAGATAATCCTTTTTTTTAAATGCAAAAACAAGACTATTTCATTGAAAGTTGTGGTTTTGCAAAGATGGAAAGATTTGGCAAAAATTTTCACTCTCAGATTCAGTCGATTTTTGATCATTTCGGCGCTAATAATGCGTTTTCGGCAAACGAAAATTTCAAACGAAATTGCTTTAATCTGCTTTTGCTCTAATAAAACATTGACTTGTTTTTTTTGACATAAATTTATCTATGATAGTTATTTTATCGAAATTCTAGTCTAAAGTAGTTTTATAGTAGTTTAAAGTAGCTTTATAGTAGTTTAAAGTTTATTTATAGTTTACGTAGGAATTTGTAAGCGTACAAAAGAAAGCAACGAATTTCAAACTCGATTTTTGGTTTAGTGAAACAAAATTGGGAATTCTCGAGAGGAATGATTAGAATAAGGATTTATGAATCATAAGAGAAAAAGATAAAACTTAATTCAAATGAAACAGGGGACTAAGATAAGATATTTAGCAAATATGCAACTAATCCAGAGCTTAAACCCAGGTCAGCTTTAACAATATCAGCTAAATTTAAGTAATCTTTTCTAATGCTAACGTTAAGCGTAAAAGCAAGTAAAATAATCTTACAATAGTAGACAAAAGTTTGACAATAAGCGGTCGTTTTGCAAAAAGCATTGGATTTAAAAAAATTGTAGCAATTGTAAGCATGAAAAACTTTTAGATTCGATCATCATCTTTACTTAAAATCATATGAACAGTTTAGAATGTTTTGAAAAGCAATTAGTGCGTGAGAATAGGTTTTTTTTACTATAAAACCAGCAGAAATCATAAAAATGATTGCCAGAAACTACCCCAGCATGCAACTTTCAGCTAAAATGTAAATTGCACCCATGACGGGGTGAATAGCGCACTCACCTCACGTGCACACGATTCCCGGATTCCATCCCCGCTAGTGGCCACCTACTTTTACTTATTTCAAATCTCTTAAAAGGCACAACTACATGAAATTTCATTAGACACTTGTTTCAGCGTTTTCTTAAAATCCTCAAAGGTGGCCACGTTTTTTCAAATACGCCCGTAGTGCGTGCACAGATGGACAGAGATTATTTTTTATATACAGTCGACTCTCTATAACGGAATGGAAGAGACCAAAAAATGTTTCCGCTATAGCTTTCCTTTATATAAAGTGCTGCACCCATGACGCGGTGAATAGCGCACTCACGTCACGTCCACCCACGCTAGTGGCCACCTACTTTAACCTTTTGCAAATTTTTTAAAAGGCACAACTACACGAAATTTCATTGTCATTGTCAGTGACAGTTTCGAATGTCCCAATGGTCAGCAGTGTATCCAAATCGAATAAAACCCAAGAAAATAAATGCATCAACTCCAATACCACTCTTTGTTCGCTTTTTCCGTTTTAAATGCTTTTTAAATGCTTAATTGAACATTTTTGTTTTCTGAACCCATGAATCAGCAATCAGCAATCAGCAATCAGCAATCAGCAATCAGCAATCAGCAATCAGCAATCAGCAATCAGCAATCAGCAATCAGCAATCAGCAATCAGCAATCAGCAATCAGCAAAAAGTTACCCTACAGGGTGCGGCATAAGTCTGGTTACAGACTTATGCCGCATGTAGTTGTGCCTTTTAAGATACAGACTCAGAACCGTGTATCGTAATGAAATATGAACGGATTCATGTAAACTTTATTTAAAATTAACAACAGTAATCATATTCATTTAAAAAATAACAAATTATTCAATCTGGGCACCCTTATTCTTGATAACGGCTTTAAGACGCTTTGGATAACTTTCCAGGGTACTTTGTGGGGTACTTTGTGGAATTTCCGCCCAGGCTTGTATAGGCTGTAGATAAAGGAATGCAATTTTAGCAGGGCCGACGCTAAGCTATATAAAACAGCACTTTATATAAAGGAAAGCTATAGCGGAAACATTTTTTGGTCTCATCCATTCCGTTATAGAGAGTCGACTGTATATAAAAAAATAATCTCTGTCCATCTGTGCACGCACTACGGGCGTATTTTAAAAAACGTGGCCACCTTTGAGGATTTTAAGAAAACGCTAAAACAAGTGTCTAATGAAATTTCATGTAGTTGTGCCTTTTAAGAGATTTGAAATAAGTAAAAGTAGGTGGCCACTAGCGGGGATGGAATCCGGATCGTGTGCACGTGAGGCGAGTGCGCTATTCACCCCATCATGGGTGCAATTTACATTTTAGCTGAAATTTTCATGGTGGGGTAGTTTCTGGCAATCATTTTTACAATTTCTGCTGGTTTTATAATAAAAAAACCTATTCTCATCTCACTGATTGCTTTTCAAAACATTCAAAACTGTTTATCTGATTTTAAAATGTTTTCTTGTTGTTAGAGAAAAGAAATTTGGAAATAGGAGCTGTTTTTTTTTTGAGAAACTGATAATGAGACGTATTAAAAGTAAACCATTTTATGAAGAAATCGAAATCGATAGTTTCCGGGAAAATTTGAAACTGTCACTTCCTCATAAAAGCATTCAAAAACAATTTTTCAGAATTTCATTTATTTTCTCGACTTTATTCGATCACGTTTCTAATGGATTTTATTAAGACGCCGTAAATTGGTTTCGTGCAAAACCGGGGAAAGTTTCGCGAAAAAAAAACGGAAATTGAAATGTTTAAATGGATTTTTCTACCCAATGTTTTACAAATTACAAAGAATAAACTGTGAAAGTCTTTATTAATTTGAGCATAACAGTGTAAGCTCGTTTTAAATGTCATATGGCGCTTTAAAGCGTGACTCGGCTCTACCTACAGTAATAAAGTAAAGTAATGAATGGAAAAGAAAGATTTCTGAAGAGGGGATTGAACCCTCGACCATTTTTGGCTTCCTAGCAGATCCTCTATCCACTGAGCTATCCGGTATTTTCTTGTCAGAGAAGAAAGAGGAAAGACAAGGGGGAAGAGAAAGGAAGAAAGAGAAGAGAAGGGAAATAAGAGAAAGGAAGAAAGAGAAGAGAAAGGAAGGAAGAGAAAGGAAGAAAGAGAAGAGAAAGGAAAGAAGAGCAAGGAAGAAAGGGAGGAAACCAAGTTGATGCTACCGTAGATTATCGCGATTGCCAGACAATAGGTGACCGCGCCAATACACCAAACAGACCAAATGTTGAAGAGCAAGCCATGTTTGACGCAAATTTTTGTCTTTCATGGCCTTTACACCGTCTGCCTCTGCTTATAGATCGCGTTTTTTTGGTTTGTGTCTGGGTTATGCTCGCGCTTCGCCTAATCCAAGCATAAACCCCACCCCCCTCGTACAGTCGCGTAGTCGCAAAAATTTTTTAGTATTTCATTTGTTTTCAAAGCGCCCGTACTTTCAAAAAATGCGTCTTTGGTATCAAAAAATAGTCCTGAATTTCAGCTATTTTTTGATACCTAAGCGAGCACTGTAGCATAAACCAGTGTCGAGAAAAACTCGTTCAATGCTAGACTACGCAACACTCCGCACCGTCATTATGGGAGTGCGGTACTATTACAGTATTTACGGTATTTTCCCAACTATCGTTAATTAAAATCACTAGACCTAAAAAGAGCTAAGCTATGAAGATTTAGGAGAAGTTACGGTAGTTTGGGGCATCCTTTAAAATCCCTTCCAAAAGTTTAAGCTCTCCAGAAAGTTTCTAAATTTAAAGAGCAGCATTCTGGTGACTCTAAAAGCTGTAATTGTTCGCAAAATTACTCTCAAAATTTTTTAAATTCTAATTTTATTAGTTCTTTAGCACTGTAATCATAAAATTTATCAAAAAAAAAAAACAAAAAAATAAATCGATAATCTCAAAATCGGAAATATTTGAGCAAAAAAAAAAACAACGAAAGAAAGCGTGCTGGGGGGAAACGAATCGTGACTAGAGTTGAGAATGAATTTGAATTGAAAAATTTGCATTTAAAAATAAGGAACATTTACAGTAATCTCTCCACAAAATACCCTGCTTTTAGGAGAAAACAAATAAAAGAAAAATGATAAAATCGAAATTTTAACACTCGTAAATCTCAGAAAAAAAAAAGTTTGGAATGAAAAAAGTGAAAGCAAAAAAAAGTCTTTGATTTTCTTGATTTAAATTTTCAAAATTTTACATAAATCACGAAATTTCTAACAAGAGATTCTGTTTTTTTGACGAATGGAGTGATTAATTTAAAGAAATCCAAAGAAACTCAAAGAAATGAATGGAAAAACAATAATGGAAGTAGTTTTTTTCGAAAAAGATAGATTTAGAAATGATTAGAAATGGTCTCTGAAGAATGGATGCTAGTTTTGTTAGTTTAAGAGAAAATTCGGTCCTATCGAATGACTATAATAGTTTTGGCACGGCCCAAAAGGTCAATCGGATAAAAAAAATGCAATGATTAGCTATAGGCTTCTTATTAGTGGTTTTAAGTATAATTTTATTAAGGTTTTCATTTAAAAAAAAGTTTAGTTGAATAGCTTTCCTCAGCCATTTTAAAATCAAGTTTTAGTAAAAAGTTGTACAGGATAGTATAATAGTTTAGTTTATCTTTGAATTTAAACCAAATTATTAGTAAAACAGTTAACGACTACACGACTGTACGCCAAAATAGCGTCGTCGCGAATGTGTTGAAAAGCTAAAAAAAATTGGCTTTTCGTTGGCTTTAGCTTGCCTTGGCTTGACTTGACTTGGCTTGGCTTGACTTGACTAGCCATTGACTTGACTAGCCATTGACTTGACTAGCCATTGACTTGGCCAGCCATTGACTTGACTAGCCGTTGACTTGACTAGTCATTGACTTGGCTTGGCTTGACTAGTCTTGGCTTTTTATCTGTTCATCCTAGGCAAAGTATATCTTCATTGTCACTATTATTTTCCTCAGAGACTCTTTCTCACTCAATCCAAAACCCAGCTACAGCTCAGTGGATTGAAGTGGTGGTGGTGGGGGAAGATTGATTGGATGCGTTGCTCGGATGCCCGCTTGGTGATGAGGGTGTTGTTGTGGGTGTTGTTGTTGTGGATGAGAGGCGCATCTCATCAAACTCGACGCTGTTCCCAGGGTCCGAACATCGGTCACCCCTGAAAAAAGTGATGTAAAAAATGCAAAATCTTTCTATGCTTTCTATTATTGAATGACAACCACAAAAAAGATTTGTTAGTGAAAAGAAAAATGTTTTGGTAGATGAAACTTACCAGACTAGATTGTGATTGATGAGTCTAAAAAGTTGTGATTACGTACACACCACAATCATAGCCATTTTAAATGTGATGCGATATTCAATTAATGTACTGTTTATTTTCTAAATCTTTATGAAAAACCATTTGTTAATCTTATTTACGCAAATCTTAGGTTAATGCGTTTTCTAAAAGGCGTCTATTTTCGAAAGTTACCGTAGTTAAATCGTTAGTTTAGATTCGATTAGCTAAATTTTGGTATCAGGAATCACAAGAGTCAGTCAATGGTGTCAAAAATTAGGCTGATTGCATAAAAATTGACGGTTTGATTACGGTAGTTTTATGAAAGACGTGTCTTTTAGAAAACACACTATTTTAGAGAAATGAACTCTATTCTTTACTGTTATCAGAATGATAAAAGAATGTGAAAAATGAGAAAGCTTTACTGCCTTGCTGGCTATTTTTTTGTGTGCCCAATCTTCTCAACAACAAACCGATCGAATTGATCAACATGCTTGCTCTCGGATCAGCGAAACTCCGCTGTGAGATTGTCGGATGTCGACTGAAGTTGTTGTTGTTGAGCGGGTTTAAAGGTGGATAAACATCGCCGACCGGGACACCCATCCCAGGTGGGACGAGGATCGGCTCGCCCGGGAAATAAGCGCTCTTTCTGCAATTGAAAACAACATTGAAACACACGATTTAGTGCTGATCTGGTTCTTCTTTGTGCTCATCGAAACACACCCTTTCTAGCATATTAGATTTTATCTTGTAACATCGATACATATGAATATTTTCAAAAAGAATCTGTGAAATCTAGGGGTTATCTGTAAAATCAGAAAACTTTAAATGCAAATTTGATAACCTTATGTTAATCTATTTGATTCCGTTTACTTTCCATTAGATTTTAACGCAAAAGTTTCACCATTCACAAGTATCCTAATTGCATTTAGTACGCCAGAAAGAGTGCATTTACATTCTGTCAGCACAAAGTACACCACAAAATTCATCTAGTGCTATTTCTAAGATCGGAAAGAATCGAGGAAACACAACACTCCGTCTAAAACAATTCTTACGGTGTAAACGTGAAAGGCGATCCTGTTATGTGCATGTATTCACTACAGATTTAAAAGTTTAATGCAGTGAAAAATTTGTTTTTCTTTAGAAGAAAATTCTAAAAATTATAACATTTACCGTAAACACTCTAATAGAACTCCCTCGTACCGTCGCGTAGTCTAACTTCTTTTTAGAAATCACTTTTTCTCAGCTCCTAAAGTTTTTCTCAACTATATACTAAATTTCAATGGCTATCATTTGATACCCAAGCGTACACTGTAGCATAAAGCAGCGCAGAGAATGGAGAATGTTTAAAGTCAGACTACACGACAGTACGCCCGTCGTTATGGGGATGGCATTCTAGAGTATTTACGGTATATCAGAAGTTTAATTTTATCTTTACTTGGCAGGTTAGCGCTAAAATTGAATTGATCTTTCTGACTTTAGCAAAAAAAAAGCTGTTTAAAGCACTATTCTCACTTTGGTGGAGTTGAATGCCCAGATGGAGAGGCCAAATGTTTTGCTTGAGCCGATATTTGTCGAAGTTTCCTTGCGTATTCATTTCTTTGACGACACCAGATCAATAGAAGAACGAATAGGACTAAAACGAGAAGAAAAGCAGCGGCGATGATCAAAACTTCGACGGTTCGTGGACGGGGTAGCACTGGAATTTTAAGTATTAAATTTTAAAATCAACTTGTCTATTTTAACTAAAACCCTTGAAGCTAGCTCTGGAAAATTCTTCACCTGAAGCCGATGCTTCTCTCAATCCATAAGCGTTTTTCAGCTCACTCCGCGCCGACGATGAGGATTTCATCAATGTGCTAAAAATAATGATTTTTAGGGAAAAAAAACTTGTCACAACATAGAATTTATCCAAACGTTGATGCAAATAAGTTGTTGAGGCCTGTTCATAGTTTTAGCATTTAGGGTAAATAATTTTGAAAATCACTCACTGAATCGCTTGATTCACGTCAACGAATTTTCCATTTTGATCGAGAAAATGTGCAAGGACGACGGTTGAATTCGAATTCTGTCGGCAACGGTCGATGACAGCGGTGAGAGCGGTGGCTGAGGAGAGAAGTCTGCAAGAAAATTTGACTATTCTTTGAACAAATGAACAAGAAAGCTTGTTTCTCTTGGTCATTGCTTATTATTTCAAAAATTAATTCTAATAGATTCTACTCCAACTACAACTACTCACTGATTATGAGTTGAACTGAGATTTATTGAGTCAATAGAGTTTACCTGATGAGATTCTTCTCGTTTCTCCGAATGTAATCGAATGGCGCATCGAAGATGAGCTCGGTTTGTTGGTCATATCCAATCAGGGAAACCTGAAATGGTCATATCAATTCAATTAGGTATATCATTACGCTATGGATTTAAATTCTTCGAGAACTGTACAATTCTTTGTAACATGTTCTCAAAGATTTCAAGGTGTTCTGAACTTCTGAACAAAGAATACAGGGTGCAGCATGTATAGTATTGCGCTCTACAAAAGTATGATTTTCTCAAAAACCCAAAGAGTTGACATTTTTTCGTTTAGATATTTAAAATCTACGGAGATTTTTCCACTAGATTTATGAATTTGTGTAAAAATTTAAAACTTCATTCGTTTAATAAGACTTTAAACGTGATTGTCGCTCTCGAAAAAATGTGTGAATTTTTGTTAGACAAGATAAGCTCGCATTTGCAATAATCGAGCTCAAAAGCACTACTTCTATAGTAATTAACTTTAAAAACATATTAATGCAGAAAAAGGTGGAAAAAGACGTTTTTAGAGATCTCGAACCCAAACTCGAATTTAACTGTTTTTCAGCATCGTGTCGCATCGCATTTTTTGTACTGATCGGCTAGGGTTGTTAAAGTCATTAAAAAATGTTACGGTTCTTCTATTCTATGTGAAAATATGCGTAGATTTTACGATTAATTCTTATTTTTCAGCTTAGGTTAATATATTGTCTTAGAAAGCCAAAAAGATGCATTAAGCGCGACACTATATTTGCCGCAACACCGCACCGTGTAAGTGTCCGAGCAATGCTTTTCTATCGGCTTTTGCTTAAACTGTTTAAACAATAAAAACAAACCACAACAGTGACCGTATCTTCATGACCGGCCGAATCGATGACGGCCAAAGTGAAAGTGTACGATGGTTCTCTCAGCAGATCGATCGCCGTCAATTCACCCGTTCGCTCATCAACGTGAATCGGCGACTCGCCGATGCCGAATGTCTGAAAGCATGATCTGTGAGCTGATCAAATGTCAAAGATCAAAAATTTAATTGGGAATTAGGAAGAGCTATTTGAAAACTTGTATTATAACTTTAGAATATTGTAAACTCTTATTTCTGTGTACTCAATTCAGGATCAAGACTGATTTTGAGTTATGGTAAAAACTTGGATTTGACCTTGCTTTTGAGATTTTGAATATTTAGCTTTAAATATCTTTAAATCAATACTTCTAAATTTCGATTTCTCACCTGTTTCTCACTTCTGACCACTCCTTTGATTGAATATCTCAATCCATCCTTTTCCTCATCCGGATCAATAGCCTCGATCTTTGCAATTTGACTTCCAGGTCCGTTTTGACCCTAGAATTCAACAATTGTCTTAGTTCTTATTTCATTCTCACCTGAATAACCGTTTTGTAAAAGATTCTCTCAGCAAATTTCGGGAAATTATCATTCATGTCCTCTATTCTGATTGTCCCCCTCAAAGTGGCGTTCACCGGGCGTAATGGGTCCACGCAAACCAGTGAGCAATCATAGGCTGTGATCTAAATATTCCAAAATACGGCAAAATATTAGAAATTTATCATATGCTAATGAATCTAAAGATCAGTTCACTTACAGTGAGCTTAAATGAATCTTGTTGCTCGCGATCGAATGATCGATTTGTGTAGAGGAAAGGATCAGTGAGTGGATGAAAAAAAAAGGCCGGATTGTCCACCGAATAGCAAATCTGAAAGCAAATATTTTGAAGATGGATTATGATTTTATCTAAATTTTGAAATTTCTATCACCTTTTTATTGTCAGCATGATAATCCGAGTCGATCGCTGACGGAATTCGGCCAACTTTACGGGGAACTGGCCCGCGCTCGTTTTCGACGATCGTCAATTGGAAACTCTGAACCAGATAAGGGTTCAATTAGATATTCAGTTAAAACTTTAAGCCAAATCTCTTACCGTTTCTTGGAAAATCGGGCAATTGTCGTTCTTATCATTCACCGAGATGAACAGAGTAATTGAGGTGCAGTTTCTGAAAGATTTGAATGGTCGACTGAATAGTAAAACTTAAACAAGAACTTGTAAATATGAATTGCTATTTGTGACCAGACTTTGGCCCTGATAGTGAAAGCAATGCGTTTTCTAAAAGCCGGATAATTTCTACCGTAGTCTTTCTTTCGATATACATAATCATGGGCTCATTTGATGAGAAATCAAATTGTGAATCGAATGGCATTAACAAGGAAAGGTCAACTGGCTGAGCCGGCCAAATGCTAAGCGACCAATCCCATTTGACAGAAAAACATTCGGTCATAGGCTTTAAAATTTAGCTTACAAGTTAAGCAAAGTTTAGTCAATAAAATCCGACTCTAACTTTACAAATAACTTTCCGACAATACCTCTTGTCATTGCAAGCCGACACTCTCAACTCGTGAATCGCTTTTTTCTCGAAATCGAATGGCGCCTTTGAGGTGAGCGCTCCATTTGGCGAAATCTCGAAGAACTCCCAGTCCTAAATTTGTGTTTTAATCCATTTTTGAAGATCATTTTACCTTCTTAAAGCTCTGATCAAATTTGTACGAGTACTCCTCTTTTTCCCCTTCTTGTTTTGCCATTTTCAGTCTCAGCAACTCGTCGTAGTGCTCGTTCTCGTCAAAGTAGTGAATACTGAAAAACTTTTTTAAATGAAAATTTAAACAAAGCAAGTTTTCGATACTTTTACGACATAATTCTATAGTTTTTTTTTCCACTTTTACAGCACAATTTCACAACACCTGACTCACTTTTGGTTTTCTCTAATCGAGTAGCTTAAATGAAGGGTTAATAGAGTAAACAAGGAAATATTAAATACAAAAAGGGCTTGTTAATAAACAACAATGTTTTCCAGCATACGTAAAACTGAATATTTTCTACCTATTGGGTTTTGGATAAACAATGAGTGGAAGGAAGCCTTGTCGACGTCCTTGTACAGAGACACAGAATGGAGTCGTCGTGTTTCGCGGTGGTTGACCGGCATCACTAGCCGTCAAATGACCGCAGATCTACAAAGTTTTAGGTTTAACAAGATCTTTGTAAATTTTTAACAAAAATTATTAAGATGTATTACATAGCGTCTAATTGATTGATAACAACAAAGAATCTGCGGTCTAGCTACATTCTCTCGATTGAACCCAGCAATTGTTATCAAATTTTGTCTACTAGTTAGCATATACTTATGGATTATTCAGTAGCAATTTCAGATGAAATTGTTGGCTGGTTTTTAAGAAATCACAAATTTAACAACCTCAAGAACTTGCGCAAGAAAGCAAGGCAATCCTAATATAAGCCATTGCTTGTATCGAGTATGCTAACTATGTCAGGGGATTGCTTTGTGCTAAAGTTAAAATTGAAAATGTACCTTTTCTCCAGCGTAACCACTAAGTTGAATGGCGACAACAAGTTTCCCCGTTTCATCTACTCGGAATTGAGTGTGATTTGTGGTGATGAGAACTGGTTGGGATCCACCGCCATCAGCATCTGAAGAGCACTTTTTTATCAATTTCACGAGTGTTTAAAAGCAAATAAAAATTGATGCACCAAAAAGATGTTTTGCCGAGCGCAAAGTACGCTCAGAATACTTTGTATCACAAGTACAAGTACATTTTCAAAGTGCCAACCTGAGGCCGAGATGATTGCCACAACATCGCCAATTTTCGCGTCCTCTCCCACCGATAAATGAGTGAGATCAGCATTGTGAATGATCGGTGAATGATCATTTGAGTCTTCCACATAAACCGTTATCTAGAAAAAAAAGTTGAATTTGAATATAAAATCCACCCACCGAAGCAAATACTTCATTGTACGGTTTCTTTCCTCCATTATCTGTTGCTCGAATCGTCAACGAATGACTTCTTTGTATCTCGTAGTCCAGTTCTTTCTTTAAAGTGATCACCGAAGTTTTCTCATTGATCGCGAAGTGGTTCTCACCGCCTGGAAATTGCTAATGTATTTTGCGCAACTTTCCATAACTTTTAAGTGGGCCAATCTTTTTTTTTAAAGTAATTTGTTAAGCAGGTTTTGCGGTAGGCTAGTTTCCGCAACTTTTTTTGTGCAACAGGGTCATTTGCGCAACAGGGTCGTTTGCGCAACTCGCCATAACTTTCTTCTAAGTGGACCAATCTTTATGATTTTGGTTTCATTTTGTAGATCTCAATAAGTGCAACAAAATGAAACCAAAATCATAAAGATTGGCACACTTAGAAGAAAGCTATGGCGAGTTGCGCAAAAAATTTGTAGCCACCTAATGTACTTCGTAACAATGTGCATAGAAAATTGCTCCTCTCAAAATGTATTTTGTGCTCGAACCGCACTCTTTCTAGTGCACTGGAATCATTTTGCTGGGCTTCAATGCTCGCGAGAAATGACGAGCTTAGTGGGTAAAAAGCTGTGCGTTTTCAACTTTGCGCACAAAATACACGATCTTAGATGGCTTGACTAGGCGTACTTTGAGTCTAAGCAAGAAAACACACCGCAACTGGCGCGCTTTTTTTTGCTTTGAAAAAACTAAAGCCATCCAATGCATCAGAAAGTAGATGTTTCCACTTTAAGCACAAAGTAAATACCGAAGAGCTGTTTAGAAAACGTTTTCGAACTACAAAGGAGCGCATTTTGGGAAACAGAAAATCCAGCATTCACTTTTTTTGCAGTAATTTTGTCTATGATTTGGAAAAATTACCAATTATCGAATAAACAATCTTCCCAAATCGTCCCGAGTCTCGATCTGTGGCCAACGGGTATTCCAGCGATAAACTGGCCCCAATCGGCAGTGATTCCGACGCATAAACGGTGAAAACGGAGCCGTTTTTGAATTCAGGACTAAATTTGAGGAATTTTAATTGAAAAACTACTTTTCCAAACCGATTATCGTTAACATCTGTGACGAAAACGGTCAAATTGGTGGACGCGTTGTGCCCGAGTGAGTCTTTAACAGTCACGATTCCGTCGATTTTTTGAAGCTAAACTTTTGCAATGGAAATTCTTAGCTTTAAAATATTTACTTTTTCAAAATCGAGGATCTCTTTGGTTCTGATTGTCCCGTATTGATCGATTTCGAGCGGGGTGCCGGCAGATGAGTTTAGGACGAGGAAATATCTAAAACGCAATTTTTAACACTTACAAATGTTTGACAAAGAAAAATCTCGATAGGATTATGAAAAGGCACGAATAAATTTAAGTCTAAGTTAGGGTAAGGCAAATTTCTAATAGAAAATAATGAGCTTTCATATTTTGTAAGTTAGGCGGGCATCTTGCAACTAGCTTCTATAATATTAGGCTGACCAGAAAATCTTTTCGTTCCTTTTCGTACTTCCGTTTCAAAACCAACAAATGCACCAATTGAACTACGGTTTGTTTCATTAGAAAGGCCAATTATTTTTTTTGCAAAATAACATTAAAACAGATTTAAAATGGCTTATGTCTGGATTTTTTTGGGATAGTCAAAAAGGATGACGGCTCGATGATGCGGTTTAGACACTTTAGCTAAGGAAACCTATCTTAGCGGCAATAGATAAAAGATAGAGTGCAAAAAGTTTGGTATCTAGCCAAATTTTTAGAGAAATTCATTCAGCCAAAGAGGTTTTATAGATTTTTACGAAAACACACGTTTTCACTTTCAATTTGCTCGAAAGTGAACCGAAATTGACTTAAAAAGATGGGAAATTGAATACTAAACACTTTTTATTTAGAGCAAACCATAGGTTAATTGGTGAATTTGTTATTTTTCAACGGGATTATGAAAAGGAACGAAAAGATTTTCTGGACAGTTTAATATAAAAGTTGTCTTTGAAATGACCCTGATCATAAAAAAAAGAATGTCACCTATAGTCTAATCTAAGCAATAGACAATGAAGAATAGATAATGTTTAGTTAAAGATCAACCTCAACAAATTCTCAGCATCCGTTCCCTCAGCTTTTATCTGTAAAATCGGCGTCCCAACAGCCACATCCTCGGTCACATTCGCTTTATAAGCGGCTCGTTTAAAGAAAGGACTATTGTCGTTCTCGTCCACGATTTTGATGATCAGTTCAACTAAATAATTGAATAGTTGAATATTTTGAAATATTTATTTTAAACCTGGTATCTCCTTTTTCTTCTTTTTCATGCTAATGGCCAATTTGATTGCTTTCACCGTATCGACGTCGAGTTTTTTGAGTGTGTGAATGACGCCGGTTTTTCGATCGATTGACACCCATTTTCGGACTTCATTTTCTAAACAAAATCAAGTAATACTTTCAAATTCAATTTAAATATATTATTTAATTGAAAATATAATAATATACCTGAAATCCCGTCAGCTGTGGCCCGCAAGATCTCATAGCTGTAGCCTGGCATTTTCGCGTTCGCCCATCGGACCTCGGTTTTCTCGTCGGTTGTTCTAAAATGATTGATATTTATCTATGATATCTAGATAAATTCTGAAAACATTCATTTTTGCTTTGCTTATAACTTTAACTTTGATTTAAAATAAAATTCTGCATTGATTGGTACTAAAAACATCTAAATCTGCTAACATTTAATAAAGTTATAAGCAAAACAAAAAATAATCACGACTCTAACCATAATTTTTATATCTAGATTCAGATAATTCAAAATTCCAACGATTTTGGTAAGATTTGTATTCAACTTGAAAATCAGAAACTTCAAAACACTGTTAAACCGCTAGTCGTTTATCTTTTAACATTCAAAATATAGATTTGAATCCTGTAAGCATAAAAATCACGGTATTTCTTCCATTTTATATAAAAATTATCCAAAAAATGCTGATTTTACCTGTTCAACTTCGTTGTTATCGCTCCTCCAAGCGTATTCTTGTGCTCATTTATTGTCACCGTTGTCGACGAGTTCAATGATGGATCGCCGTTATCGTGAGCCCATACTTTGAAATCAATCCATTGATCTTTCGTGAAAGGCTCGGTCCCGTTGTAGACAACACTGCCGTTGACGTCGATGTAAAATCTAGGATTTATTTTAGCAAGGTTTAGGATAATTAGAAGCATAGCATCTTTGGACAAATATTAAATATCATATTTGTCATCATCAAATAGCATTTAGATATGTTAAAATTTAGGTTATCTATATAAAAATCCCTTACCGATCATCCTCGGTTGTGAAATAGATTCGATTATTTGGCGCCGTCGCGTCATCGTCGCTGGCTTCAACCTGGAAAATTTAAAAAATAAAATCTTTTTACAGAGCATAGAATTTTTTGTTTAAAGTTTTGTTTATTCCTTTTTTTAAAATCAATTTGACAACTGCTTAACCTAAAAACGTTTAGTCAAAACGCTTTATTAGTCATGTGCGAATGATTTGATTTGGCAAATCGGACGAGTTCGACTAGCTTTGCCGTAACAGGCAGAAGATGACGTGGTTATTTAAAGATAGGAAAACAATTGAGTTCAAAAAAGTTCTACAACTCAAAAATGTTAACTTATATCCTAATAAAAACGAAAAAATACATGTCTGCTCACCTTTCCCACACTTTGTCCTGGTTTCAAATTCTTCTCGACACTGAATGCATAATGTGATAGAGTGAATTGTGGTCGATTATCGTTTGTGTCCTCAACCCGAATTGTGATATTCGTTTTTCCGGATAGCGGCGGTTTCCCCGAATCTGTCGCTGTTAACACTAATTCGATTGGATGAACGGTAAGCGAGTCGCGATCGATTCGGCCAATAAAGAGAATGCCTAAACGTTCTTGTTATTTCTTCGATTAGCTCTTTTACCATTATTCACATCGATTGGTAATCCTTCTGGCATGTTGCTAAGTGTATAGGTCAACATTGCGTTTTCACCGTGATCTTCGTCTCGAGCCTGAAAAGTTTACATCAACTTACCGTAGAAAGTGGACTCATGGATGCCAGTTATCAAACAAGGCACAAGAATTTGGTTTTCAAAAGATACTTGAGTACTTTCTAGGACTTGGTTTTGGATTGGCCTGACTCCTGGATGGCAGTTGTCAATCAAGTTTTAGAACTTGTAAGCCAGGACTTGTAAGACTTGAACTTGTAAGACTAGAGTCAGGTCAGAAACCAGATTCATTCCAAATGATTCAGAACAGGGCTGGCAAAAAAAGCTGCCAACCCTGGCCCAGAATGTCTTGATAAAAACGGACGGGTACCCGTCGTACTTGAATTTTTAAAGCTTCTAAAAACTCACCGAAATCTTGTGTTTACTCGCCACTTCTTCCACCACATCAATCGTTATGTGATCACTCTCAAAGCGAGGCGTATTGTCGTTCACATCCTTCACCACCACTTTCACCGGAACGTCGGTGAATTTCCCTAAAGTTTTAGCACTTGTCAATTAATAGCTTTCAAACTACAACCATTATAATATCATGATGCTTATTTGCTACCTCCTTTATCCGTTGCTCGAACAGCAAACGTGAACTGTGTATCTTTCTCTCTGTCCACCGCTCTCGTTGTCATCAATCTTCCCTCATCATCAATTTTGAACACATTTCGCGAAGTCCCAACAACTTGGTAATCGATTTTGCTGGATTCGGTTGAATCGGCGTCGATTGCCTAGAAATTGAGCTTTAGCTGCGCCAGTCAACGGAATGAATATAAAGAAACCGGATATTGTTAAGTTGGGTTTTCTGGTACTAGCTTGGCACTGGTATAAATGTAATAATAATTTAGCATTGATACCGGTTAGTCCTACTTTGATACTATTAGTTTGAGTACTATGTGTTGGTATCCCTTGCTCATTATTTTTTTCATTAGCGAGTGTTCGCCAAAAAAAACCCTGGATCGCTAAAAATAAAAAGTGTTAAAGTGTTTAATTGTAGGTATTTTAAATGATATATATAGATACTTTATTCAGGGCCTGAAATAAAGTACCCTAGATTTATGATTAATACACATGAGGTCATACACATAACACGAAAAGGGCCGATAAAAAGGAATACGATATAACGTATGTAATGGGTAGCACAGATAACGTTAAGAATTCACTAGAGCTTCAAGATTAAGATCATCTACAGATAATTTAAAGATTTCGAGACTATTTGACTCTCTCAAAACTCTGGGGAGTCAATTCCAAATTCTGGCAGTTCTTATTGGAAAAGAGTTATACACAAAATTATTGGAGGTGACTGGAATTTCTAAAATGAAAGAAACTCTCCTTGAATTAACCGTGTGATTAACTTTGAATAAATCTCGAAAAAGAGGGATAGGTTGCCTGCCCTTTACAATTCTGAAACATTCTATTAAATCCGTGACCAAGCGACGGTATCTAAGAGATTTAAGATCAAGATCAAGATTTTAGGTATTTAAAAACAAATTTTGGCCTGATATGATGCAAATTCGCAAGTAAATTCTTAGAAGGGAAAGTTAAAGAAAATGGTGGGACAAATCTTTCTGAAAATTTGGCTATACTCCTAACTCCTTACTTTTCTTTTTTCTATTTACAAAGTCATCTCTTTTTCAAAATTTTTCTCTTAAACTCTTAAGAATGAAAACCAAACCCACCGTAATCTTTCCCAATTCCATCGCTTCCTCATTTTCCATGACATAAAAAGTGTAGCTATCCGATTTGAATTTCGGTGCATTATCATTCACATCGAGCACAAAGATCTCGATTTCGCAGCTTCCCATTGGCGATGTTAACTAGAACTTCGTAATTTGGCTTCTTTTTTGCTCATACTTTTAGACTGTAATTTGTTGTCTTCTCATAATCCATCTTTTCCACATTGTTCACTACGATTTCCACTTGATCGTCGGCTGTTTGCTTGAAAGCGAAAATGTCGGCACCGCCAATGAGACGAAGTGAGGATTTGTCCTAAAGTTAGACAATTTTCAAAACCCCAACAATTCTGTGCTTGTAGCAGATGCTTTATAAGGGAAGATCAACTGGATGTGCTGGCCAAATGACATGGGCCATAGACCATTGGACGCCGAATTCAACGCCGATTCCGATTCCGAATCTGCTTTTGTTTTTTTTTTTGCCACGGAGCACTCTATCAAAGGTTATACGCATTTAAAATTTTGTAAGGAGTTTGAAAAATCAAACCGCGACATTACAACCCTGTCTTCCGCCAGCTCGGCAGCAGAAGCGGTGGCTGAGTGGTAGTAAGTTAGGATGCAAGGCGAGGGCTCATGGGTTCGAGGTAGCAACCTCCGTTTTAGAGGAATTTCGTTGCTTTTTATAAAAATATTTTTCGACATAAACACACAGGCATTAAAACCTAAAAAAAGAAAAGACCTAATCAGCTGGCGGACTCACTCAAACCAGATAGCCTTGCGAACTCGAACCGCCTTGCGTCCTAACTCCCTAACACTCGTCTACCGCTTCTACTGCCGAGCTCGCGAAAGACAGGGTTATAATGCCGCGGTTTGATTCTTGAAAACAAAACTTTAAACGCGTATAACCTTTGATAGAGTGCTCTGTGGCAAAAACAAAAGCAGATTAGGGATCGGCGTTGAATTCTGCGTCAAATGATCTATGGCTGATGTGATTTGGCCACATCCAGTTGATCTTCCCTTGTTATTTAGATTTAATTCCAAATTTTCTCAAAACCTGTTTCCCGGTTAAATGAATTGTTTCCGGGAGATCGAAATTCTCGGATCCCTCTCGAATCCTCATCTCATAGAGCTCCTTTTCGCACAATTTTCTCGAACTTTCCGCTTTCGGTAAAATTGGATGAGAAGATAGAGTCTAAACAAAGAAACAAAGATTTCAATGTCAATTTCAATTTCAATTTCAATTTAGATTTCAATCAACTTATTCAAAATCTAAATAAATCTACCTTTTCGATGATTCTAGCTTTGACGAATTTGATCTTCAGCTCTCCCTCGCTTTTCATTTGCCCTTCACCTTCTTCTGTTGCCTAAAATGAATTTCTAAACTAAATATTGTCATAAAAGCAATAAAATATAGAACCTTATATGAAATATTATCTTATTATTTTGAAATATTCAATATTTCAAGCTTACCGTAATGCCGAGCCTCAAATCGAGCTCCTCCCCGGGCTCGCTCTTCAACTTCACATTCCCGGTTCTTTCATCAATTTCTGAAAAGTTTTCTTTTAGAAATTTAAAGCTTTTATGCAAATTTTTAACTAAATCTTTAGCTTTTGCACCTAAATATTGATTTTCCTGTAGCGAGTATCGAATCGAGTTCGCAGTCTCAGCGGCTTCATCCCCATCTCGGGCTCGAATTTCGAAGACCTGCTTTTTAAATTTAGGTTTTTATGTTAATTTTATATTTTAAACGTATCAGTACACAAATTCTTTGAATTTTCAAACTATTCAGCTCACAAAACTTACAATATCCCCAATTTTCGACGTCTCTTGAATAAGAAATGTTTGCGAGAGATCAGTGACGAACAGCGGTGGTTGACTGGAAAATTTCATGTGAAAGCATTAGATATTTTAAGATAAAAGCTTTAATCTTATAACACGTTGACGACAATGGCGTTTTTGCACAAACAATCGCATGGGACAACGTTGTTTTTTTTCGACAAAAAATGTCACCTGACATCAGGTGACAATGTCCCAGGCAAACGAATATGTGTCAAACAGCATCATGTGACAATGTCGTCAACGTGTTAATGATATTTCTTCAAAAAAAAAAACTCACTCCTGAGCATCCAGCACATGAATCGTAATCGAAACGCTTGTCTCGAGAGAGCTGTTCTTTGTTGGATCTCCGTCTTTTGCTGTGACTGTTATCTGAAAAAAAAATGTAATTAAGCTTTAAAATTATCTACCAACCAAATGTTTTCTTTGTTTTTCGAAATCGAGTTTTTCTTTGACTCTCAACGTCGTCCAACACTCTCCATTCCCACATTTTCGCTTGTCCACAGAGAAATTAGCGTTCTGAGATGGAAAAATGATAAATGAAACTTGAAATGACTAAAATTTACATTAAAACTTTCATTATTGATTAGAGATCAATAGTATAATCAATAGTATTAAAGCTTTTTTCCTACATTTTAAGTTTAAACAACTACATTGGTTGAATTTTAGTCATTCAGATTATCTACTGACCTTTTAACGTAACAAGATTTATCATTAATAAAGAAAAAAGAAAGGAATCAAATTTCTACGTACTCTAACATTACTAAAATTACTCTAACATCGGTATTAGACTTTTAAAGTAAAGTACATCGATTGAGTAAACAGCCATTCCAGCGATTCCAGTGTCCGGATCTCGTGTCCTCAACTTGAGAATAGCTGATCCCTCTGGAGTGTCCTGAAATTGTTTGTTAGTTAACAGTAGAGTGTGTTCCTCGCGAGTAAGTAATTACTCGAGTAAATTTGCATGAGTAAAGTTTTTACTCGAGTAATAGCTCGAGTAATTGTGCGTTTTCTAAAAAGTGCGCCTGCGTGAAAAAAATAAAAAAGTAATTTTTTAAGCACGTTTTGCGGTAGGCTAGTTTCCGCAACTTTTTTTGTGCAACAGGGTCATTTGCGCAACTCGCCATAACTTTCTTCTAAGTGTGCCAATCTTTATGATTTTGGTTTCATTTTGTTGCACTTATTGAGATCTACAAAATGAAACCAAAATCATAAAGATTGGTCCACTTAGAAGAAAGTTATGGTGAGTTGCGCAAAAAAAGTTGCGGAAACTAGCCTACCCCCAGGTTTTTCAAAAAAAAAAAAGGTTTTTGCATTGGAAGGGAATTTCCCACCAAATCAGTTAAACGGCTGAGTATCTTGAAATAGTGTCGTATATAGTGATTTTTGCGTCATTTTTTTGCAATAATTTTTGCTAAAAGTACGATAATTTTTTTCCAAGTGTGGGTTTTAAAAAACGCATTACTCGCGAGGAAAACACTCTAATTATTAAACACCCTGTAGATTGTAATCTAAATCGATTGAATATTTAGATTTAGATTGAATATAAGTTCAATCTAAATCGAACACAACATATACTGTATAAATACTGTAATTGCAGGAAATGCCCTTCTATTTTTTTCCCCTATCCTTTTTGCGGACTCCCGGAAAAATCACATAAGAGATTTAGGATTTTTGCGTAAGAAGCGAGAGCATCTAACTCTGATAGATTTAGCCGATTTGTATGACTTTTAGAAGTATGATAAGAGTTTGATTCACAGATTTAAAAAACGCATTACTCGCGAGGAACACACTCTAGTTAACAGTTCAGATAACAGTACAGATAACTGTACAGATAACTGTACAGATAACAGTACAGATAACTGTACAGATAACTGTACAGATAACTGTACAGATAACTGTACAGATAACAGTACAGATAACAGTACAGATAACAGTACATATAACTGTATAGATAACTATCATTAAATCTAATCACTTTCGTAAATAACTTTAAATTTTGGTACTTTTCATTACCTCAAAAACACTGATCGTCGAGGGAACGCTGAGAAACTCGGGCGCGTTGTCGTTTACATCAACAACCTGAGAAATGGTTAAAGAGTAAGTATTTGTATAAATATAATAGTTACCCATTTGCCATTCGAATTTTACTCTCATCAATCTTATAAATCCAAAATTTATTTTCCACCTGTATCTCCAAATTTGCCCTCGACTTTTGCGGACCGGAGAGCACAAGAGAGAACGATTCCCATCGTGAACCATCAGCATTCTCTTTCTAAAAATCGAGGTTTTATGAATTCGTTGAAAATTAATTTGAATATTTAAACATTTGTAATTAATTTGTATTATTGTGTTGGCGTTTTCTTAAAATTGTTGATCTTGATGGTGAAATTCAACAAATTTTCTGTCAATCGTGCATTTTTACCAAAAAGAATCTTTGTTTAATGTTTTGTTTAATCCTTTTATCAAATTTGTCCCTTGAAATTTGTTTTGCATGACTTTAAGTTTTTCCCTAACAAAAAAAAACTCAAAGAACGGTGTTCAGTTTGACTTTTTACTTTTCTCCCTCCGATTTCAATCACGAATTCATAGAATGACTTTTGAGACGCAAAAGTTTTGAGAAAAACTTGTTTTCTTAGAAAAAAGTAACTGAGAATGGAGATTTTGGATGGAAATGAATGTTTGTGAGTCGTTCAACTGCATCATTGATGGGCTGAAAGAAAGAGATTCAACTTTAGCGTCATAAGATTGCATAATCTGTGGAATAGTTGGTTATGATGGAAAAGAGAATATGTAATAATCGTTCTTTAGTACTTTTTATTCAAGTGCTAGGTTTTCGTTAGACTTGTTGCACTCTTGTACTCTAAAAATTGACACATCCTTTTTGGCGTACAGAATTGTACTCGATGCCTCAATTTCTTCTCACTATCATTGACTCTTTTAAACAATTTTACAAGAATTGAGAGATAAACTTGGAAACTTAAGATTATCCAAAACTTAAGATTAAGAACTTAAGATTAAGAACTTAAGAATAAGAGCTTAAGAATAAGAGCTTAAGAATAAGAGCTTAAGAATAAGAGCTTAAAAATAATAGCTTAAAAATAAGAGCTTAAAAATAAGAGCTTAAGAATAAGAGCTTAAGAATAAGAGCTTAAGAATAAGAGCTTAAGGTTCAGAGCTTAAGGTTAAGAACTTAAGCTTTTGAGGCTTATAGTTAGTTTTTATTTCTAGAATGGGTTTTTAGGCATAGAACGAAACGATCAAATAAATCAAAGTCCATTTTGCTTTTTGATTTCTTAGTTATTGTGAAAATCAGAGATAATTTTGTTCCCATTGATTCAATCCAGGGAAAAGTATGAGAAAATGGAAGCTCCAGAGCTGGACCCAGGCTCAATCCTACCACAAAATGCCACAAAATGGGCATAGCAGATTTTGACGCCGTTGAGATGCAAACGCCTGTTGAACACGGGGAATCCGATGCTGTATGCAGTTTTTGCCCATATTCCAAAGCACGCGAGAAAAACGTGTTTAAAGTTTGGGTATCTACTCGGGAAATCGTGCTGCAGGCTTATAAAGGCTCTATTCTTTTAAAGAAAAGGCCAAAAAGCAAAAAGTAACTCGGGTACGCGCGCATTTACCACTACGCCATCTGGTCACATTTCGGGGGTCGGAAAAGAGCCTTTACAAGCCTGCAGCACGATTTCCCAAGTAGATACCCAAACCTTAAACACGTTTTTCTTAGAATATGGGCAAAAACTGCATACAGCATCGGATTCCCCGTGTTCAATAGGCGTTTACATATCGACGGCGTCAAAATCTGCTACGATCCTTTTGTGGCATCCCCTTGGTAAGTTCAAAAATCGATTTTGAGTACAAAATGAATTTAGCTAGTAGAAGTGTAGGTGTTCCTTTCGAATTCAATTCTAGAATTCAATCAGTTGTATCATTTTTAAATCCAAGTTTAACCTGTCCATTATATTTTTCATCCCAATTTGAAACTTTTCTCAACCAATTTTTGCTTCAATAAATTCCCGAATGTCAAGATATCTGGGCAAGAGCAATTTTGGTTGATAGCTTTGACCGATAGAGTAATTAGCATGTATTATAGATGACATTCATGATTCTGTGGAAAGGGTTTCCTCTTTTGAAGGATTCGACATAAAATGGGAGAAAAGAGAAGGAGCAATCACTCGAGAAAAGAAGAGAAAAGAAGAGAAGAGAAGAGAACACCCTTTTCCACACCAATAAAGGGTTTCCGCCATTTGGGGTTTCTTTTGGACTTTTCGAAATTAGACTTTCGTTCAAATGTTGATTGAAAGGCTAAAGAACAAAAGGAAATCGTGCTATGGCTTCAGGTTTAAGAATAATTCTCTTACAACTGAAAACGAATAGTAGAAGTTGAACCAAATGGATCGTTAGTTTTGAAGAGGATTTTGTTTCTAAAGATCTTGTGTACTTTTTCCAAGGAAGAAATAGGAAAGACAAGGAAAAAGAAAGGACGAAAGGAAGGAAGAAAGAATGCAAGAAAGAAAGGAAGAAAAGGAAGGAAGAAAGACGTTGACTTTATCCAGAATTTCTTGTAAAAGTACACAAGATCAAGAAACAAGAAATTCTGGATAAAGTCAACGTCTTTCTTCCTTTCTTCCTTCCTTCCTTTCTTTCTTCCTTTCTTACTTTCTTCCTTTCTTTTTCCTTGTCTTTCCTATTGCTTCCTTGGAAAAGAAAGCACCGATAGCTCAATGATAGATCATCTATCCGGTAAGCAGTTAGTTGAGGGTTCAATTCCTTGGTTCCAAAACAATCTAGGCTCTCTTCAAAACCCAAGATAACTAGATCTATTTATTGACCTTCTCTCCAATCAATGAAACTTTCACTGCCCTTTTCTTCTAGTTTCATCTAGTTCATCTAAAAATTCATCTAGTTTTTGTTAAACAAGTCAGTGACATTTTTGAAAACAATCAGTGAGACATAGTGAGACACAATTACCCTTAAGCAATGCTTTGAATTTTTGCTGTGAGAAAAGGGCACTGAAAGTTTCATTGATTTGAGATTTTAAATCTTTTAATTTTAAGTCTTTTTTCTATATATTTTTAGAATTTACCAAGCCAACCTAGTAAACGACTCTTCCATATTATAATAAAATTATCCATCAAATTACTCAACTTTCTCTTCGATCCCTTCTCCGAAAAGGTTCCCCTTTTTCATTCAAAATTCGATGAGGGTCACTTTTCTTCGAAGATATTCAGGAATCTCACATCCAAAAGAGAAAGGAGAGAGTGTGAGATAATAAAATTCGAGTGAGTGAGAGATCCGGGAGGGAAGAAATCCCACCAAATATTAGTGTTCTTTTTTGGCTAGAATTCTCCTGGGACTAAAGCAGTGGGTTAGTGATTTTTTTTTTGAACCCGAGTTTTGTCGAGTCTTTTTGCATTGGTCAAAAGCCAGTCTTTTTTGATGGATTTAAGCATAAAAAAACAACAGGAAATGAGGAAAAAAAAAGTGGTTTATAAATGAAATTGGCTTGTATGGCTGGGAAAAAGTGAAGCTCTTCAAGCAAAAGCATATGAATGCGTACTATTGTATCACTTTTTTGTCAATATTGAACTGGAATTTACAAGAACTCACATCGGCATCCAATTCCCGATTCAGCCTCAACGTCGAGCAAGTTTCGTTGAGTTTCACCACAGAGAATGTCTTTTGTGAATCGCCTGAAGATTTGATTTTTTTTTCAATCGATTGAGTGACCGCGAATTATAGCTACAACTTTTTGGAAATTGGAAAAGTAGCTAGGAAATGTCTAACTTATTCTAGAAGTATTAAGTGTTATATAGAGAAATAAAGCCCTGAATCATGGCATTATTTATCTCCCAAAAACTTCCCAATTGGAATTATACAACTCATTTTACAAGCTCTTGAATGAGCTCAAGTCGAGCTCTGTCTCCAGGCCTCTCAAGTCGGTCTCCGTTTTTGACACTTTTTAACACATAATATTTTCATCTAGAAAGAAATTCCTTCAATTAAACTTATAGAATTTTACTTTAAAAGCATCATTCAACAAGAATATAACGTTAAAGAAGCTTATACAAAAAGATCTTTTTGTCAAATGGATCGAGAAAGCTCAATTTTCCCTTTTTTTTCAGAGTTTCCAGAAATCAATCACAATTTTGGCTATAAAAGTTTGACAAAAGAGTTCGTTGTTATTCTTATTGCTATTAAATGATCTTAAACGTTATTTTCTCAAGAAATAAATATAACTTTTTAACAATTTTTAATAGAGAAAAGCAGCGAAATGACAGATTTGCCGGAGAGAGGCCGAGCTCATTCAAGAGCTTGTAAAATGAGTTGTATAATTCCAATTCAAAAGTTCTTTGTAGATAAATAATGCCAAGATTCGGGGCTTTATTTTTCTATACAACACTTGGCGCTTTGATAATAAGTCAGGCGTTTGTCAGCCCCCAAAGCTATCTATTTCTATTGTGACAGTAAGCTAGAACAAAATATATTCTTGGCTAATGCTTATAAGAATGGCATTATTTATGAGGTCGAAATTGTGAGAGTGTGAGATTTTTACTTAAATTTTCTCCTACCTTGCAATATTCTGACATTTCCTGGACATATCGTTATCGGCAATGTCTTCTCCAAAGGCCAATCCTCCTCAACCAACAGAAATGATGGATCGACGGCGAGATGACCGGATTCAACTGAATAGCTTTCTCATTTAATAAAAATACATTTATCCAAACGAATACTGTGCTATGAGGTTAAAGGCTCGAATGCGAACATTGCTTTTTTTTCTAAGAGAACAAAGCTATAAAAATGAATACGATTTGAACTATTAGAAAGGTAGAAATCTGTGTTCTATATTGGCGTTCTATATTGGCTTTTTCAGCGATTTTGAAAAGCTTTTGGTTTAAGATTTTTCAGTAGACAAAATCGCCGATTTGTCAACTTTTTTGTGCAAATTGATTTAGTGTTTTTTCTCACTAGAACTTTTGAGCAACTCTTTTTACATATGTCAGCCAATTCTCAGCCAAATCTGTTCATTAATTTTCTCTAAAATGCATCAAAAAATAAGGGTATTCGAAACATTTAGAAAAAAAACAGCTTTACGGATTTAGCTATTGCTTGAAACTATGCAAAAGATTGATCTTTCATTTGAGAAAAAAAAAATAATGCTAACTTTCAATTAAGAGAGTTGTCAACTGAGGAATTTGTGACGATTTTGAATACGGTTTTTGGATCCCTGATCTCTGAAAAATCGTGAAAACTAAAGCTTTTCGAAATTGTTGAAAAAGTCAATAAAGAACGCAGATTTACCTTTCTAATGGTAGAAACTGTATTGATTTACCGAAAAAAAAACCGAGAAAAAACACTAAATCAATTTGCACAAAAAAGTTGACAAATCGGCGATTTTGTCTACTGAAAAATCTTAAACGAAAAGCTTTTCAAAATCGTTGAAAAAGCCAATATAGAACGCCAATATAGAACACAAATTTCTACCTTTCTAATAGTTCAAATCGTATTCATTTTTATAGCTTTTTAAAAACACAAATCAATTTGCACAAAAAGTTGACAAATCAGCGAGTTTCGATTTTTGACTACTTGCTTTTGGATCCCTGAAAAATCGTGAAAACTAAAGGTTTTCGAAATTGTTGAAAAAGTTAATAAAGAACGCAGATTTACCTTTCTAATGGTAGAAACTGTATTGATTTACGGAAAAAAGCCAATAAACTAGGCAGGATTGAACCGTTGACTTCCCGACGAAGATACAGGGCTCGTAGCCAGTCGGCTGTGATGTGATTAGATCAAGAAATGACATGACGTGTTAAAGAGAAGATTTATATGTAAATTTTGTTTCAATAACTTTAATTTAATACTTCAATAAGTTCAATAACTGTTTCAGTGTTTCAAGGTTAAATTTTGCTTACTTTAAACATGAAATTGCAACAATTGCAACAAAAATGAAATTTATTACCACTTTTGATCGGATTTTAAGTTGAAATTCGAATTCTCAATACCGATTTCGATACTTTCAAATGTGATTCGGAATTGCTTTTATTTTTAGATCTTTTCTTTTTTATTAGTTTCGAACCCCCAAGAGACACCCTGAAAACCCCGGCAAAAGGCTTTTCTTGCACCAATTTTCTCTCGAAAAATTTCACCTGTTAATTAGCTAGAGAGTTTTGTTCTTAAAACTACAGTTCTTGGGTTGTAAAGTGAAGAGATTTGATTTAATATTTGAAAATATTGTTTAAACAGGATGCTTTTGAAGTTTTCTCTTTGCTACTTCAAAAATATTTTCTTGAAAATGAATCTAGCCTCAAAATACTCGAAAAATGGGAATAGATTGCTTTATTTTTTTTCTTTTTCGTTTTAGTTCGTTCTTCTCTTTTCTTTCTTTCTTTCTTTCCTTTCCTTTCTTTCCTTTCTTTCTTTTCATTTAAGTTCTTCCATCTTTCCTCTCCTTTTCCATTAAATGGTGCCCTTTAAGGGTTTCCCCTTTCCCTTTTCTTGACTACCCATCACCCAATTGAATCCTTTTTTCTCCCCCTCAAAAATTCTTGATGTTTTAAGCCATTTGCTTTACATTTACACCACTTTTAAACCCAAAAAAGGTACTAGAACATTACTTTGAAATAACACGCGCTTAGGTATCAAAAAATAGCTGAAATTCAGGGCTATTTTTTGATACCTAAGCCCGCATTGTAGCATAAACCAGTGTCGAGAAAAACTCGTTCAAGGCTAGACTACGCAACACTCCGCACCGTCGTTATGGGGGTGAGGTACTATTACAGTATTTACGGTAATAAAGCGTAACAATCCATTCGGATCATTAGAATATTGGATACAATATTTACGATAGGTACTTCTAGTTGACCTTCTAGTCATTTTTTTCGCACTCTTGACACCTTAAGAGACAACTTATTACCAAAAGTTATGTCAAAAAAACAGTATAATTTAGAGAAATAAGAGAATTAAGTGCGGTAGAAAGGTGTAGAAGTTAAAAACAAAGAAACTTTCCGATTAATTCCACCTAGGATACCGACAATGATCATTGAAAAGCAAAACGTGTTACTTTAAAAGCGTTTAGGCTATGGTTTTAAATAAAATATAAATAAATACTTCAGAATATTTTGGAATTTAACTGAATATTCTCAAGAATTATTAAAGTTTTCAAAAATCTCGACCAACCTCTCCGAAATAGCAACAAGCTGAGGCAGAGAATCAGAAAAATCGCCATCGCTCATTCGGGTATTCAATCAAAAATAGAAATAAGGGTAAACCCAAAAATCCAGAATTATTTTCGAAAAAACCAATTGGTTGGCCTTGAAGTTGAACGAACAGATGGCTGAATAGTTGGCTGAATGGTTGAACAAGAATGGTTGAATAAGAATGATTGAATAAGAATGGTTGAATAAGAATAGTTAAACAAGAATAGTTGAACAAGAATAGTTAAACAAGAATAGTTGAACAAGAATAGTTGAACAAGAATAGTTGAAAAAGAATAGTTAAACAAGAATGGTTAAACAAGAATGGTTAAACAAGAATAGTTAAACAAGAATAGTTAAACAAGAATGGTTAAACAAGAATGGTTAAACAAGAATAGTTAAACAAGAATAGTTAAACAAGAATGGTTAAACAAGAATGGTTAAACAAGAATAGTTGAACAAGAATAGTTAAACAAGAATGGTTGAACAAGAAGTTGAATAAGAATAGTTGAACAAGACTAGTTGAAAAAGAATAGTTAAACAAGAATAGTTAAGCAAGAATAGTAGAACAAGAATAGTTAAACAAGAATGGTTAAACCAGAATAGTTAAACAAGAAATTGAAATGAATAATTACTGTTTAAAGTAATCGAAGAGAGTGAGAAAACAGAAGAAAGAACTGTGCAAAGGGGATTGTCAAGGATTGATACTGGCTGGAGGTTTTTTTTTCTTTGTCTCAAAATATTGCAACAAAATTTTAAGGCAATAATTTTGTTGTTAATAGCTGTTGAAATAATTTTCGGGCACTCTGTAGTAAGTGATTTTTCTTAATCACTTAAGAAAACTTCTTTGTTAACCTAAAATCTATGGCTGAAAAAAGGCTTGACCTTCAAAAATCGTGAGAATGACAACGGAAAACATTGAAAAGACAAGGTTCTCATGAATTTCAATGAGAAAACGATAAGGTGGGTTTGGGTTTTTTTGGGTTTCAATGATTGTAAAATCTGCAAGACATCTTTAGGCTTTAGCTTTAGGTTTTCAAGTTTCTCAGTGTCAGTAAAGAATTTCAGAAACTCAGCTATTTGTGATCTTTTTCTAAATGTGAATGTAAACTTTGTAATTATTCTAAAAAGTGGTCCAGTTATGAACTGCTTGGATTTTCAATTGTAAAGTCTTAGTCAAGCCGAAAAGGAAAGCTTAAACTACAGGTGACTGTAGCTAAGCCACAGTCACACAGCCAACTGTAGCTAAGCCACACTGTAGGTGACTGTAGCTAAGCCACAGTCACACAGCCAACTGTAGCTAAGCCACACTGTAGGTGACTGTAGCTAAGCCACAGTCACACAGCCAACTGTAGCTAAGCCACACTGTAGGTGACTGTAGCTAGGCCACAGCCACACAGCCAACTGTAGCTAAGCCACACTGTAGGTGACTGTAGCTAGGCCACAGCCACAGCATATCCCAGTTGAAATTCAATACTCTATCAGTCAAATCTCAAGTCAAAATTGAAAGCTTTAAATTAGAAATTAGGGTTTATAAAGTGGTTTAGTATTGAGTCAGTTTTGATTACTGTAAAATTTTAAATGTTTTTTGATAGATAATAATAATAAAGATAGACAATAACAGATAAAAAACAAAAGTTCAAAGCTGCTTAATAATAAATATATTGTAAACCAAAAAGAAAACAGTAAAATTGTTTCCAAAAAGTAGCTCCAGAATCGTGACTTGAAATAGAAACAACTTTTAATCCCATTGTATAAAGAAAACAACTGCGAAACGGTTTCCCATAAAGAAAAAGTGAATGTAAGAAGACGAAGAATGTCTATTGCTAAACATTGGTGTCCGAAGCGAAAGCTTTTTCTTTTCTATCTTCTATTGGGTAGATTGGGGAGGAGGGATAGAAAACTGTTTGTAGATGGGTTCATCCGGGTCCCCGAAAGGCCTGAGGGTAAGGGAAAGGAGGGTTTACGATCCGTGGTGTGACTGGGAGAGGGAAAGGGAGAGCCAGTCCACATAGCGGTCATCCTTTGGAACCCAGCAACCTGGGGACAACCTGCTATAAGAAAAAAACGTAGTAGATAATGGAGATATGAATTTGTCAAACCGAGATAGAGTTTAGGTTAAGCTTTAGAGCTTATCCTAGAGTCTATCTGCTGAAGAATCATCCTTTGGAACCCAGCAACCTGGGGACAACCTACTATAAGAAAAAATGTAGTAGATAATGGAGATATGAATTTGTCAAACCGAGATAGAGTTTAGGTTAAGCTTTAGAGCTTATCTATCTGCTGAAGAAGCTAGTTTTTAAATCAAAATCATAGTTTCTTTGCTTGAAGTTAGTTAAAATGATAGTTTCTTTGCTCAAATCAAAATCTAATAAAAGATAAAGCTAAAATGATAAAGCCAATCAAATAATAAAAGCAAAATGTAACTAAAGCGAAGAATTCTAAGTCAAAAACTATTAGTAGTTAAATTTGGATGAAATTGATCAAATGAAAGTCCAGTACAGAGCTTAAAGCACTCAGCCTAACAGACAGAAATCGCATAGTAAATGATTGAAAACTCTAAACGGAACTATGATATTTTGAATATGTTTAAACAAATCAAACAAAAATCAAAAGCCTGAAGAGTAAAGCAAATTTCTGAGCTAGTCTAGCCCATTTCTGGAAGGCTGAGGCTGAGGGCAAGCCCCGCCCCTTTTTTGCCTTAATTCTCCTCACTACTCAACTTTCACATACAATTTCACATACAAACACTTAAAAAAAGCTAATATTGAGTTTAAAAACAAAAAAATGGCTACATGCTTTCAAAAGAGACTTAATAGCAAGACTTCAAAAGTCTCTAGGTCTTGAAATTGCTTCTGGCTTCTGGCTTGGCTTCTTCTAAGTCTCTTTTTCACTTTAACTTATAAATAAAAGATAATCAGCGATTTAGATAGAATAGTAAGCTTATTATTATCAGTAAATGAAGATTTAAAGATATTCAGAGAGCTGGATTCGTTGAAATACCTGCCAGTACCCTAACCTGGTCATAGAATGACCAGGTTAGGAACCAGAAAAGTTTTCATAACAGCCCAATGTTACAAAACTAAATAGTAAACCAAAATAAAGCCAATTGGTTGAAAGATAATCTTTCTTCGTTGCTCTTCATCAATTTGTGAAAAACATGAAACCACTTGTCAAAAATCTGTCCTCTGCCTTCTTTTCTGAGTGAAAAGGACAACTGACTTCCACTTGATCTTTTCCCTCTCTTTCATAGATCATTTCAAAGCCATAAGGTCCACAAGATTGAAAAATTGAGTTATTTTTTTGATTGATTGAATAGATTAATTGAATAGATTGATTGAATAAATTGATTGAATAAATTGATTAAATAGATTGATTGAATAAATTGATTGAATAAATTGATTGAATAGATTGATTAAATAGATTGATTAAATAGATTAATTGAATAAATTGATTGAATAGATTGATTAAATAGATTGATTAAATAGATTGATTGAATAGATTAATTGAATAAATTGATTGAATAGATTGATTAAATAGATTGATTGAATAAATTGATTGAATAGATTGATTAAATAGATTGATTGAATAGATTAATTGAATAGATTAATTGAATAGATTAATTGAATAGATTAATTCTAATATTTGAAAAAGCCAAGTAATCTCTGAGCTTTGGAAAGGTTGAAAGTTCAGAGGAAAGTACGAAAAATGAGAACTGAATGTACTTTTTTTGTGGCAGAATCTTTTTAAGTGGATTTTTCACAAATTAAGGAGAGCTTAAGTCAATGAATTTCTTTTATTGATAGAGAATACTTGAAATTTTAGTATTTATTATCTCTTTCTACACGAGTTGAGTCATTTTGTTTTGTTTTTTTTTTGAAATTCGAGCCTCGACTTTCAACAATGAACACTAAAAAGTTGTTTTTTTTTCAAAAATTTTAAAGAGAAAGCTTATAATTTAAAGTATAGGAAAAAAACTAAAAAGTCTACTCAAAAAAGAAGCTAATCTAGCATGTGATAACAACGAGTTGCGTTCACTCAATTAAAAACTCTTCCATAACTCTTTTCTAATTCTCTTTTCCAATAAGAATTGCCAGAATTTGGAATCAACTTCGCAGAGTTTTGAGAGAGTCCAATAGTCTCGAAATCTTTAAATTATCTGTAGATGATCTTGAAGCTCTAGTGGACTCTTGACGTTATCTGTACTACCCATATATTATTGGGTTGATGAATTGAAAACTGCGGGCTATTGTCATATGTGACAGTTTGAGCACTTTCTTCAAAAGAAATCCATTTTGGTGTCAATGGAAAAGTTGTAGAGAATCAAAAATTAAGTTTATATCCAAATTTAAGTTTATAAGTTTATATCCAGAACGATTCAAAAACTGGTTTTCAAGAAATGCCAAATTTACGAATTTTCACAAAACTTGCATTCTAAACGAAACTACTAAGTGTATCTTTTTGGAAATTTGGATATAAGCTTAATTTTTGATTCTCTACAACTTTCTATTGACACCAAATGGGTTTCTTTGGAAGAAAGTGCTCAAACTGGGCATCTCCAGTCCTCCATTTTTGAGTCTCACACTTGTCTCACCACACAAACCAAAATCCTACTACGAAAGAGGAATCCGCAAATTGCTTGTAAAATGGGCAGAAGTCGTCAATAATAATGGAAATAATTTGAAATGAATCCATGGCTTTATTTTGAATAAATTTTAGTTTTAAGTCCGGCAGTTTTCACCAACC